TGTCCTTAATCATATTCAGCTGAAATATAGTTTTACCAGGTTACTTAGATCAGTTCTTTCCTTCCTCACTTTTTAGTGTGGTTACCTTATGTATTTGTAACACAGTTAGGTTTATTTGTTATTGTTTATATTCCATTTTGGGTTCTCTCCCACATCTTAGTTGATTTTAATTGTTGTGCTTTTTTTCTTGTGGTTGGGTACTTTTTATTTAAACAGAAAATGACATTTTTTCTTAATGATAAAATTAATGTACATTACAAAAAATTTTAAAAACAGAGAAAAGAACAAAGAAGAAAGTAAAAATTCTCCTTAATCTTAAGATAAACAACTTTTTTCACTTTGGTGCAAATCCTTCTAGTAGAACTTTTTTTTTTCTGTAGGTCAGAAGATTGTGGGCATACTGTTTTGAGATCTCCTTACATTATCTCTTTGTTTTCAACAAAAATGTTAGTATTGTGTTAAATGCTTAGTATTATATCAGATTATGAATACAACCTGTTTTGTTTAATCATGTCTGTGTTGTGGGACATATAAACTAAATAGTCTTTCATATAAATTTTTGTGTACATTTCTAATTTTTATGGCTCTTTAAACATGCTGCCAAATTTTATTCCAGGAAGGTTGCAGAATGTTGTCTCACTTTTTCAAAAGCAAAAAACAAAAAACTCTCTCCAAACATTTAGACAAATAATGGTTTTACTGAATCCTAGTTAGCAGGATGGAATTTTGCCATATTTTTATTAGCTTTGTGTATTTATTTTCTGGATTGTTCACTGATGACCTCTGTCAATTTTTATATTGGCTTTTCATTTTCTTAATGTTTCTGAAAGCTCTTTATATAATAAGGATAGTAACCTTTGTCTATTATATATAATGAATGTTTTATTTTAGTTTACCTTTTAATTCTGTTTAATTTTTTCTCTTGAGATTTTTCTCCTTGTGGTTTTATGCTAAGAAAAGGTTTTTCCCAATTTAGGATCTAATAAACACATGTATTTTCCAGTTTTTACTATCTCATATTTAATTTTATATAGAGACGTTGGAATCTAGTGATTTCTATTTAGAGAATAAGCAGTTTTTCTAGCCATATATGTGGAATAATCCAGAGCTGCAACACTGGCAGCGGGCTCTGTGAACAACGACTTCTGGAGGAGCGCAGCATCCCCCACTGGGTTCCTGGCCAGGGGCTCCGAGCAACTCGTCTCCTCCCCATTCAAAATTCTCTCTTTATTATGTATTTTTATATATGGGGTATATTGTTAGCTTTCTATTCTTTCTCACTGATCTATCTATATTAATACCCAATCACATTATTTTTATCACTACTAGTTAATAGTATCTAATAATATCTAGCAGTCTCTTTATTATTGTTCTCTTTTTTTCCTTTTAATAGAATTTACTTCTTAGAGCAGTTTTAGGTTCACAGCAAAATTGAGCAGAAAGTCCAGAGAGTTCCCATATACCCCTGCCCCCATACACACATACTCCCCCACTATTAACATCCTGCACCGGAGTGGTACATTTGTTGCACCTGATGAACCTACACTGATACAACATCATCACCCAAAGTCCATAGTTTACATGAGGGTTCATGCCTGGTGTTGTACATTCTGTGGGTTTGACAAATGTATAATGGCTTGTATCCATCATTTTAGTAGCATATAGAATTAGTCAGCGTTCTCCAGAAAAACAGAACCAACAGGCTATATATATATAACAGAGGAGATTTTTTGTAGAAATTGGCTCACTTGATTATGGAGGCTTAGTCCCATGATCTGCATCTGCAAGCTGGAGGACCAGGGAAGCTGGTGGTGTGGTTCAGTGAGTCCAAAGGCTGAGAACCAGCAGAGCAGATGGTGTGAGTCTGAGTCCAAAGTCCTGAGAATCAGGGGGCTGATGGTGTAAGTCCTGGTCCAGGTCTGAAAGCCTGAGAAGCAAGAGCACCTGTGTCTGAGGGCAGGCGAAGATGGATGTCCCCGCTCAAGCCGAGACAGCAAATTCGCTGTTCCTCCACCGTTTGGTTCTATTTAGGCCTTCAACGGGCTGGATGATGCCCACCTGCATGGGTGAGGGCAGTCCGCTCTACTCTGTCTACCAATTTAAATGTTAACCTCTTCTGGAGACACCCTCACAGACACACCCAGAGATAGTTTTACCAGCTATCTGGGCATCCCTTATCCCAGTCAAGTTGACACATAAAATTAACCATCACACTGCCCTAAAAATCCTCTGTGCTCTGCCTATGCATCCCTCCCTCCCCACACCCTTGGCAACCACTGATCCATTTACTGTCTCTATAGTTTTGCCTTTTTCCAGAATGTCATATAGTTGGAATCATGCAGTATGTAGACTTTGCAGATTGACTTCTTTCACTTAGTAATATGCATTAGTAATATACAAGTGAAGTCATATTTCACTGAGGACTATCCTCCATGGTGTGATAGCTCATTTCTTTTTAGCACTCATTTCATTTTTAGTTCATTTCTTTTTGGTGCTGAATAATATTCCATTGTCTGGATGTACACAATTTATTTATCTATTCACCTACTGAAGGATATCTTAGTTGCTTCCATATTTTTGCAATTATGAATAAAGCTACTATAAACATTCATGTGCAGGTTTTGGGCTGGACATAAGTTTTTAATTCATTTGGGGAAATACCAGAGAGCACAATTACTGGATCATATAGTGAGAATGTTTAGTTTCGTGAGAAACCGCCAAACTGTCTTCCACAGTGGCCATACTGTTTTTGCATTCCACCAGCAGGGAATGGAGTTCCTGTTGCTCCACATCCTCATCAGCATTTGGTGTTGTCAGTGTTTTTGATTTTTGCCATTCTAATAGGTGTGTAGTGGTATCTCATTATTGTTTTAATTAATTGTGTGGGGTTTTTCTTTTTGGTTTGTGTGAAACATTATAATGGTTCTAAGAGTCACTATACAAAAATGTATGCTCAGAGAGGTGTTGCTCCCTCCTCATCCGACTACCCGCTTCCCATTTCCCTCTTCATTCTGTCCCTTTCCCACCCCATCCCCTTAGGTACCCAATCTCTTCAGTTTCTGGTTTATCCTTTCTATGTTTCTTTTGTACAAATGAGCAGATACACATATGTTTTCTTATATCCCCTTCTTTCTTACATACAGAGTACCGTAGTTTAGATACTCTTTTGCACTTAATAACAGTTATTTTGAAGTCTGTTTCTGAGAACACATTATCTGGATAACCTGTGTGACTGTTTTGTCTGTTCTCTCTCTCTCTCTCTAAATTTTGTCTCCTCATCTCCCTGTATATTTTTGATTGAGTGCTGGACATTGAATATAAAAAATTATAGAAATAACTTGAGGCCTAGGATGATGTTCCTCCAGAGGGGATTTACATTGGCTTCTGTCAGGCATTTAGGAACATGAGCAATCCAAGATCACTTTAATCCAGTTTCCAGAACTGAGATGATGCAAAGCTGGGCTTCACTCCCTGCAAGAGTCAATCTACTACCAGTTCACTTTTTCTCCTAAAACATAGCCTTCCAGGGCCCCAGTCCAAAAGAATGCTTCGTGGCAGGATCTCGTCTCCAAGTTTTGTTCTTGAAACCTCAGGGGGCCAATTCCCCTAGGGATATGTAGCCCCAAATGCCTTGCTCATCTCTGTTGGTTACTTGATTCTCCTGGATCTTGGCCCCATATTTTTTTCTGACTTGTTAGCTCTTCGATGTCTTCAATCAGGTGGTTTGTAATATTGTGTTCGACTTTTCTGTTGTCCTGAGTGGTGAGTATGCCTCAATTCTGCCATTACAGAAGCAGAAGTTCCTTCATTGCTTTTTACATTGAGACTAAATTTTTCATTTTAAATGTTGTATTTAGTTCTTTTTCAAATATATCTCTTCTTTTCTCATATATATATAATTTTTTGCTGAGGAAGATTCACCCTGAGCTAACATCTGCCAATCTTCCTCTGTTTTGTATGTGGGTCACCACCATAGCATGGCTGCTAAAGCACAGCGTGCCGAACTTAACCACCAGGCCATGGGACCAGCCCCCTTTTCTCATATTTTAAATTTCCTTTGTGTTTAATCAGTTTGTGTGTGTCTGTGTGTGCGCACACACTGTTCTATTAGCTGAAGTTCTTGCTGATCCGATCTTACTATTGTGTCTGTTAACTGTCACTCATAGTAGATTGTTTCCTCGTGCATTTTACAATTTTGGATTGTGAAGTCATTTTCAAGAGGATGCCTCTGTGCACCCTGAGTTGAGGGCCTGCCACACTAAAGCAAGATTGTGTTTGTCCTATGGGGCATACTGCAATACCACCATCCTGAGACCAGTTTTTATATTAATTTTTCCTATGAGTTGAGAATAAATGAATACCAAACTCATGTAAGATACAGAATTTTGGCCTCAAATTCTCATGGGAGACTCTTTCTGCCTTCCAGAACCTAGGCTGAAACAAACTTCCTTGTCAAGCAGATTTTTTATCTGGGCCATCATTTCCCAACTGTATACCACCTCCAAGTCCTGGCTTCATGCAGGGTCTTGGTTCTAGTTAACTTCCTGCCTGCAAGGCCTCATTTTCTTTTCTTATCTGGACATTAAAGCACAACCAGATATTTAATAAGACCAACCACGCCCGCTCCGCCACTGCCACCTGCCTGGGCAGTCGGTAGATCAGCTCACACACTTACTGCTCCTGATTTTCAGTTTTCTCTTTGTTTTTGGCCCCCAGGGATTTCCTTTATTTTTCTCGAAGGCACTGTGGTGCTTTTAAAAGGATGTCTATTATATTTAGTCAGCATTTCTAGGGACTTGTAGTGGGAAGTCTTTCAGGTTATCTAACCTACCATTGCTAGAAGTAGACATTAAACAGTTTTTTTCTAATGAGAATTACCACTATCATGGTGATGCTGTAGGACAAGTCTGAATATTTTATGTGACAAAATGAGCAGAAATGCCCTACTGTGCAAGTTTTGGACAATAAATATTCTTCCCCCCTTTCCTTGTCTCCCCAAGAAACATCCAGAGAACATTCTAAAGGCCGATCAGCCAGTGTCCACTTCAGCCCCAATGAAGGCAACAATGGAAACAGACATCCAGGAGTGTCCTCTGTTGAGAAATCCAGAGGTGAGACAGTTGGCGAGCAGCGGTGTGACAAAGGGAAAGGCTTCTGGAAGCAGCCCTCCTGCATCAGGGGGGCTGGGCCTGAGGAGAAAGGAGAGGACCTCAGTGGGGCAGCTGCAAGCCTTCTACAGCAGGATGGCCACAGGAAGCCTGGTCAGCGGCACAACACGGCACCCAAGGCCAAAGGTACCTCCCAGAAAAGGCGCATGCAAGAGCTCAGAGGAGGAAGGTGCTCCCCGGCTGGTTCTAGCCGGCCTGGCAGTGCCAAGGGGGAGGTGGTCCATGCCGGGCAGAATCCTCTCCACCATCGGACACCAAGAAACAAAGTGACACAGGACAAGCTCACAGGAGGGATCTACTCAGATTCGCCACAGACCACAGAGGTGTTGAGGTCAGGAGTCAGGAAGCTGGGGACATCCACCCTGTCTGAGGACGCTCAGATATCTAAGGAGACTGATCCAGCACCTGGTCCCCTCTCTGCACAGAGCGTGAATATTGACCTTCTCCCCCTAGAGCTGCGGCTGCAGATAATCCAGAGAGAAAGAAGCAGGAAAGAGCTGTTTCGCAGAAAGAACAAGGCAGCAGCAGTCATCCAGCGGGCCTGGAGAAGGTAGGAAGACGGGGTGCCACAGCATCTCTGGTCCCGTGGTTGTCCCAATACCCTGTGCTCTATGATATTTTCTAGTGAATTCCATGTGCTGCCATGACAAGGCCAATTTTATTGAGCCTACCCATGAAATTCACACATGTACAGACCCTAGCAATTTACATTGGATTAGCTATTTGGAAGGTGTTTTTGCCAAGAAAGACAGGAAAACACCCAGGGTCGCCTGGTGTAAGGAAAAAGCCCTCAGTTTGTAACCAGGAATGCTGAGTGTCGGGTGAACTCTAACAGGTTGTCTAACCTTGGGCAGATCACTTGGCCTCCCTGACCCTCAGTTTCCTCATCTGTGAAAGGGGATTTAACAATTGCTGCACCTGTCCTGTTTGTATGACAGGTTGTTAGAATGAGATAAGGTGTGCTTCGTAAATTCTGAAGCACTCCACATGTAAGTTGTGTTTATGTCTCTACTACCCAGGAATTAGTCGTACGCCAAATACCTAAACCAGGGCGTAGATATAGTGGATTGAGTGACTGAAATTTATTACAAAAACCCGTCTGAGCATCTGCCAAGCTCCGAATGTCGAGTAGGTGCTGGGAGGAGGCGTGGAGGCTTCCTGAAATACTGAGACAAGTACCTCCAGGGAGTAATTATGGGAGGACTCGAGGAGTCTTTTCCTGCAGGTTTTCACTTCTCTCATAACCTCCTTCACGCTGCAGGCCCCACCAGGGCCTGAATCTAGATTAGGCCTTACACTGATGACCAGTGCCCAGGGGAGGGCTGGACCCGTCGCTGACAGGTGGGCGTCATGTGGCCTCCGTCTCCGGAGAGAGGAAGGTTGATGGGGAACAAAGCAAGCAAATCTCTGGGAGCACAGGTGTGCCACACATCAACGCCCCCGTCAGGAGATAAAAGGGCTGGAGGGACCCTAATGCTGGCAGAGGAGAGGAGAGCGAGAGAGGTCCCCCTGAGGTCCAGGGGGAGCCCTCAGGGCCTGTCGTGCCGAAGCCCACCTCACCCGGAGCCCGGCGCTCTGCTTCCTGCTTGCGCAGCCTTTGCTGTAGTGCGTCCTCGTGTCTGTTCAAGCTCTTGGTCGTTTACAAGTCATCTCGTGCCTGCTCCCCTTGGCTGTCCCAACCACACCAGGAAGCTGTCATGACAGGGATTAGTGTCCCCATGTTTCAGACAAGGAGATGGTCTCAGAGAGGACAAATGACTTGTCCTAGGGGTGCAGATCCAGCACTTGAAGCTCTGACTCAAGCCCCAGGGCCTTTCCCCTACGTTCCCAGTGGTGGTTGCTGTGGTCAGGGTAAGGGAGGCGGGGCAGACCTCGCACTCTTCACCTCAGAACAGGTGGAGAAGAAAGGCCGCCCGGAGGGTGCTCACACTCATCGAGGTGACGTTGTTATGATTGTCAACGCTAGTAGTTGGCATGTATTGGGCTCTTGTGCCAGACACTGTTCTAAGTAGTGTTACATGTATTAACTCATGTAATCCTCACAGTAACCCTGTAAAGTAGATACTGTTCTTATCCCCATTCCACAGACGACGAAACTGAAGCACAGAGAGGTTGATCAATTACCAAGGTTACAGAGCTAGTAAGTGGCAGCGCTGGCTTTGAGCTGAGACCGTCTGAAGCCACAGGTGGGAATGGTCCCTGCTCCCCCTCTTTGGGGACTTCTGCCAGGATGTGCATTGGCTACCATCCCAGAGGAACTGTTAGGTATTTCAGCTGAAACCTGGGATCTAAACAAGCCAGCGAGGTTTACCACGTCAGGCCCCACAGCTGCTCCCTAGCTGCAATGCCTTCCTGTCAGACTGTGCTTTGACTCCTTTGAAGAGTCAGAAGCTGACAGGTCCTGTCAGTAACTGTCCATAGCAGCAAATGAGCCTTCAGTCATTCCCCAGAAACAGTGGGCTCATAGTCTGTGTGCCCATCTGGGGAGCAATTACACAGCCCCCTCTGGCTGCACCATTGTGTGGTTCTGAGACCTAGAACATCAACTCCCAAAGGGCTTCTGGGAAGCCACACATTGTGGGAAGTTGCATGTCTGGTGACAGTAAAAACACATTTATTTGATTCTGTTATAGCCTTATACATCTTCCATTTTAAGTACAGGAGCCCAAAGTCCTGGGACGGTGTGTGGTGTCTGACACCGAACCTAAGGAGCACTGAGGGGTGGGGTGGGGGACAGGGCTTGGCACATAAGTGCCCTGTAAATGCAGGCTATCATTCCAGGATACATGTCGAGGGGGAAGAAAGGCAGACTGGAAAGTGCGCAGGGATGGGGTGAGCAGGTTGAACCTTGGGCCCAGAGAAAATGAAGCTTAGTCTTAAAGTGTGAGTTTTATTACCAGTCCAGACTTGACTCTTTTAAAGACCAAAACCAGATACTGGCCGAGCTAAGCTGGGCTGGAAAGTTGCTGTGGCTACAAGCAGTTGCTGTGGGAAACACTTCCTTTTTACCTCAGCACTTGTAAGCCACCTCCCTGTCGGCTCTTCTCCAGCGTGTCCTGAGATGAATAGGCAAGGACAGGCTGCGCCACAGAGAGCCCTGAGCCCAGGGCTGAGAGGGACGATTGGACAGGTGAGGTCTCTCAACAAACCAGGAATGCAAGTCCTCCTGAGAATGGGAGACTAGAGGCTGCTCCTCTGACTACCAGGGCCATCAGACACAGACTCATGGTCTCCGTGCCAGAGTCGATTTGGTGGAAGTCGTGCCCACTCAGAGCCGGAGTTATTACAGCTTCAGCCCACACCTGGGCTTCCCAGCAAGTCTTCTGCCTGCAGAGCAGAGGGTGTGGAAGACACTTGGCGTCTCAAACAGAAGAAACTGAACCATGCAGCAGTATTGCCCCATAACTCCAGCTGTTCTGCACAGTTGGCTTTTTGGGAAGGTGGTACATATTCTAGTAGAGGGATGCCTTGGTTCGTCAATCTCCAGGAAAAGAAAGGAAGACTTGTGTAGTTTGACTGAAATCAGCCTTCAGGGCAGGGGGTGGGGGGGCTGCCCCCAAAACTGCAAGAGCTTTTAGGAGACTGCGGACGATGGTTATTTCCCATTTGGTGTATGGTAAATCAGGCGTGGATGGGCCTGCTGCTCGCTGCAGCGCCCTCTAGGCTCACCAGGAGTGGTTAATCAGTCAAGGTAATGAATCCTGGATGCAGCTTTCCTTAGGAGACTCCCAAACAGTGTGTTTAATCAGAAGTTTGGGAGTGCACGGGGGATGGACACCATCATGTCAAAGCTAGATGTAATAGAGCCAACGTCCACGTGCCCCTCGCCTCTCCCACCCCAGGCTCCACCCTCCAGCAGAATGATCTCAGTAAAATACAGCTCTTATCTCTGCCACCATTCTTAAAAACCTCTGTGGGTCCGCACCAAGAACAGAGTACAGACCCAAGTCCTTAGCAGTGTTTGGCTGTGGGACCAGACAGCTCTGAGTTTGAGTGTTGGTCTCTCCTGGCTCTAGCTGTGTGACCTTCTGCAAGTTACTCAGCCATTTTTTCCCCCAAGTTTTATTGAGATATACTTGACATACAGCACTGTATAAGTTTAAGGTGTACAGCATAATGATTTGACTTACATATGTTGTGAAATGATTACCACAATAAGTTAGGTTAGCCATCATCTCACGTAGATTAGAAAACAGAAATAAGGAAAAAAGGTTTTTTTTCCCTTGCGATCAGAACTCTTAGGATTTACTCTAACAACGTTCACATGTACCATACAGCAGTGTTAGCCGTAGTCGTCGTGTTGTACATTACATCCTCAGCACTTATGCATCTTCTCACTGGAAGTTTGTATCTTTTGACCACCTTCACCCACTTCCCCTCCCCCACCCCCTGCCTCTGGTAACCACACATCTGATCTCTTTTTCTATGAGTTTGTTTTTCTGTTTTTGAAAATTTCACATATAAGTGAGATAATACAGTATTTGTCTTTCTCTGTCTGATTTTTTTTCCTTAGCATAGTGCCCTCAAGTTCCTTCCATGTTGTCGCAAATGGCAGGATTTCCTTCTTTCTCGTGGCTCAATAATATTCCATTGTGTGTGTATATATCCTACAACTTCTTCATCCATTCATCCATCGCTGGACACTTAGGTTATTTCCATGTCCCAGCTATTGTAAATAATGCTGTTATGAACATGGGGATGCAGATGTCTCTTTGAGATACTGTTTTCATTTCCTTCAGTAAATACCCAGAAGTAGAAATGCTGGATCATATGGTAGTTCTATTTTTAATTCTCTGAGGAACCTCTATACTGTTTCCATAGAGGCTGCACCAATTTACATTCCCACCAACAGTGCACAAGGGTTCCCTTTTCTCCACATCCACACCATCATTTGTTATTTCTTGTCTTTTTGATGACAGCCATTCTGACAGGTGTGAGGTGATATTTCATTGTGGTTTTGATGTGCATTGCCCTGATGATTAGTGATTTAGAGCATCTTTTCATGTACTCATTGGCCATTCATATATCTTCTTTGGAAAAATGTCTGTTTAGGTCCTTTGCCGGTTTTTTATTAGATTATTTGTTTTTTTGCTATCTAGTTGTATGAGTTCTTTATATATTTTTAGATATTAACCCCTTATGAGATATATGATTTGAAAATATTTTTTCCCATTCCGTAGATTGTCTTTTTATTTTGTTGATTATATTTTTTGCTTTGCAGAAGTTTTTTAGTCTGATGTAGTCTCACTTGTTTTTTATTTTGTTGCTTGTGCTTTGGGTGTCATATCCAAAAAATCGTTGCCCAGACTCATGTCAAGGAGATTTGTTCCTATGTTTTCTTCTAGGAGTTTTATAATTTCTGGTCTTACATTTAAGTCTTTAATCCATTTTGAGTTAATTTTTGTGAGTGGTGTAATATAGGGGTTTTAGTTTCATTCCTTTACATGTGAATATCCAATGTTTCCAGCACTTTTATTGAGTTTATTGAAGAGACTGTCTTTTCTATTCTTGGCTCCTTTGTCAAATATTAGTTGACCGTATAATGCATGA